CTTATTTTTTTTAAATATATTTTATTGATATTTTACAGAGAGGAAGAGAGAGGGATAGAGAGTAGAAACATTGATGAGAGAGAATCATTGATCAGCTGCCTCTTGCACACCCCCTACTGGGGATATGCCCGCAACCAAGGTACATGCCTCTGACTGGAATCGAACCCGGGATCTTTTAGTCCGCAGGCCGACGCTCTATCCACTGAGCTAAACCAGTTTCGGCTGGGAGAGAAGTCTTAATACATAGGGGATAAAATGGATCTTATGGTACCCACTCTTACCAGTCTCTTTGGGGCTGGCTGGGATTGCTGAGTGTAATGTACCTAGCTCTTCTTTCAAGGACCTGAAAGCTCAGACTGCAGAAGTTGTTCTTTCTGCAATCTTCATTGACCTTGCAGAAAGGACCCCTTTTGTGCTCTGTGCCATAACATTCAACTCAGGAACTTACAAAAGAAGCTGCACGTGAGAGATCCTAGGTCAGAAATGTATGCAGTTACTGTTCTCTATGTCGTGGGCACAGTTCTATGGCTAAAAAGTAAAAAATGCTTTTGGCCCTGTGACTTTGTCTTTTTAAATATTAAAAATTACAGCTGATTGTCACATGCAAAAAATAGGTCTGTACAAAAGGCACTCAGAAGACCCTTGGACTTCTGAAGAGCGGTTATAATAAAAATATCTGAGATAGGAAAATATTATGACATAAAAATGCTAAAAGCTAGAAGAGTCTATCACAATCAAAAGAAACTCATTCCAGATTGTAATGACCTTATTAAAGAAGCCCTTACTTTATTAGAAAACTCTACTACCATTGTAAATAATTTCTTATTCTTTTGATCCAAGGGAGATGAATTAAAAATTGGACACCATTGTCCATGTGATATTTCATTATAAAACTAGAAGCATTTGCTGGTTTCCTATTCAAGTTTACATTTTCAGCAATAAATAGGCTCAATATTTCTACATTTTTATTGATCCTCTTTCCTCCTTACCTGGCATTCTATGGAGCTTTGCTTGTGAGTGTGGTAAACTCCTGAAGATCTCAGGTTAAAAATTACTGAGCAGAGTCTTTTATCCTTACCTAAATAGTCTCTATTTTCCATTCTAACTCCTTTCCCTAATAAATAAATATTCATGCAAGGGAAAAAGGTTCCCTGAGCTCAGTCTGCACCCTCACTCACCTGCCTGCCTGATCACTCCTAACTGTCCTCCTTACCAGCCTGATCTCGCCCCCAACTGCTCTCTTCTGCCAGCCTGATCATCCCTAAAGGCCTCTGCCTTGGCGCTCACCACCATGGGTTTGTCTGGAAGGAAGTTGGATGTCCAGAAGATGGCCAGTTGACCCGATCTAATTAGCATATTGCCTTTTTAGTAGCATAGATAGATTATATAGGATAGGATCTCTTAAATGCGGGGCTGGGAAGCCTTTTTCATCAGGTGGAGATGCTCTTGGAAGACAAAAACACATAATCCCTATATCTGAACTGATAGCCAGCTATATGCACTATACTGCCAAACTGGTCATTAAAAAATTAAACTGCTTTCTTATACCCTACACCAAACAGCTGTTGCCCTTAAAATCCCTCCTCAGCTCCCACCTTAGGCTCTGCCTTTGCAGTTCAACCAGATTAGGTTCTGATTGGTCTGTTTCTATGCCAGTCAGAATCTCTGGGCCTATTAATAGGTCTGATCAGAGAGGTGAGATTTATTAGCAGCCTTAGTGGAGGCCCGAGAGAAAGAGAGGTGCGGCTGCTGACCAGGCCCAGATCAAAAGAAAGAGACAAGTGCTGATCAAAAGCTGCCATGTAGGCTACAGATCAGACCCTGCTTCTGTCTCCAGGCCTCTCTTTGGGCCTGATCCGCAACCCCCTTGGCAGTCAGTGCTGAGTCAGGGCACCTGTAGGAGCGGTGGTCAGTGCTGGGTTGCCACATCAATCTAGCATTGACTTCCTTTTCGTCAAGCCTTTGGTCGTTTTAGATGTTACGGACCCTGGGTTTTTATATATTAGGATACACACACACACACACACACACACACACCCCCCACACACACACACACAATTACTTGGGAGATTTTTTTTTTCTGATCTTCAACTAGTTGTGGTTTCTGGCTTGTTTCCCCCATTATTACACTAACTTGTGGTCACTGCTTGGCTAGCAAAACCTATATTTTTGCTATCTTTTGTTTTTGAACTTTCATACCAATGCCCATTATTGATAGATTCAATTTGGGATCTGGTGGAGCCCAAGCACTGGCATTTTGAAAACCTCAACTAATTCTCACATGCAACCAGGGTGGAGAACCACTCTTTAGGTCATCACAGGATGCACCTCACCTTGCTTAATAAATTGATTTATCAACCTTCTTGTCTTTATATATAGACTTTCATCTTCATCCCATTCTCCCCATCCCAGTAAATGGCATTTCCATCTATACCATTTCTCAAATTAAAACCCTGAGATTCATTCTTCTGTCTCTAGTCTTCCATCCCCAGCTAATCATCCATCAGGAAATAATATAGACTTAATTTTCTTTTTTCTTTTTAAAATCTTTACTTATTTATTTTTTAATATATATTTTATTGATTTTTTACAGAGAGGAAGGGAGAGAGATAGAGAGCTAGAAACATCGATGAGAGAGAAACATCGACCAACTGCCTCCTGCACACCCCACACGGGCGGGATGTGCCTTTGACCGGAATCGAACCTGGGACTTTTCAGTCCGCAGACTGAAGCTCTACCACTGAGCCAAACCGGCTTCGGCTAGACTTAATTTTCAATATATCCCTCTAATTCTCCTTACCTCCATTGCCTTTCTCCTAACCCAGACCAACCCCTCACCTTACCTGGACCACCGAAATGTCCTAACTGGATTCCCCTATTCTAATTGTGTCATTTTCCACAAAGTTCTTATTGTGTTAACATTCAAGCCTCCTCTCTCCCTCCCCCTGATTCCATTTCCTCTCTTCCTCCCTAGAGGTAACCACTTATATACATTTAGAGTTTATTATTCCCATGCATGCTTTATAATTTTGCTTCATATTTGGATCCATATATAATACTTAGTGTTGTTTTAAAATATTGGTACTATTATAAAGAGGATATCAGATTGCAACTTGTTTGTTTCATGTAACATGCTTTGATACTTGTTTATGATAATACAAGTAGCTTGTTTATCACTTAAATTGTGTATTATGCTATCTAAACAAAAGATCATAATTTGTTTCTTTTCTCTATTGACCAACATTCAAAGGTTTTCAACTTTTTCTTTTCATAATTGATGTTGCAGTAAACATTTGTGTATCTTCTTCCATACATGTGCAGAGTGTCTCTAAATATATACCAAGGAATAAAATTCAGGGCTGTCGGGCCTTTTCAACTTTTCTATATTTTATATAATTGCAGTACATACCATCTTAAAAAACACACACTGTTATTTTAAAAAAATATCATAAAGCACTTACCAATATGTCTGTATGAAGCAGTGAACAAGAGAGACAAAATCTCTAACTACTAGTTGGAAGGGAACAAATGAACTAATAAGATAATTTAAGATAATGCTGAGTGCTGGATAATGAGTCATGCAATCCTCTGTTTTAAGATCTTTAATGATTTTTTTTATTGAATTTAGGATTAATATAACTCTTTTCCAAGCCTATAAGATTGGCATCTCTCCCATTCTCCCCTTTACTGCGTATGCTCTCACCACATTGACCTTTTAATTTTGGGAACTTGCTTATTTTTGCTTCAGGACCTCCTGGAAAGTTCTTTCTACCATTCTTTGGCAATTTTTATTCATGATTCAAGTCACAGATTTACTTGTTCTGTTTTCTGAGAGAAAGTTGATATTTCCTAACAGAAAGTCTATGTTCAAATTTCTCTAATTGTCCCCTCCAAGAATTGTGTAACATTTTTCAATGAAGGATTACACATTTTATTCAGATTCTAAACCTCTTCAGTCTTCTTTACACCAGCACAGCTCTCGTCTCTCACTATATTGACATTTGTGAATAGTCCAGGTCAGGATTTTGAATGAACAGCCTGCGTTTTTCTTAATTTTCTTGGTGATGTTGTGTCCTTTCCATGGGATCTCATCAGGAGGTACAAAAATCTTCTTTTGTCTCATTAATGATGATATTACTTGTTTAAAGTGGTGTCTACTAGATCTCTTCATGATAAAGACATCTTTCCTTTTGAATTTAATAAGGAATCTTTAGGGTGTCACATTGAGATTATGTTAATATCCTGTTTAACAACAAACTTTCATCCAATGGTATTAGCCTGTATTGATGGTACTGCCTTGTATCTATTATTATTTTGATAGTTACAATAAATAGGTATTATATAATTTCACCATTCCTTCTACATTTTTTAACTGACATTCTATAAAGAAGCCTTTTAACTCCTTCCTCCCCACTGCACTTTTAAAAATTATTTTAAAAGTATCACTAGAGGTTTGTTTTTTACTGAATCATTTGACTAAAAAGTAAAGTAGTGCTTTTCTGAATATTTTTTCATAGTGCTTAATATATATTTATTATGTATTTTTATATGATACTTCATAGCCAAGTATCTATATGAAATAACACATTTTAATAAATAACATAGTGTGGAGTTCCTTTAAAAACATTGCCCCTCCCCAATTTTGACATGTAGTCAGGATTAAAGTTCTTCTGTTGGCTAACAATTATGGTAGTGATTTGTTTTCATTTATATTTCTTTAGTGAATTCAACATGAAGTCAAATCTGTTATTGTTATTAAAAATTTGTAGGCTAAAGTTGCCCTTGATAAGGTACCTTACACAGAAATACAGGGGTAGGAAAAGTAGACTTATAGCTGTTTGTATGGAAAAAGACATGCAGGTTATGATTATTGCAATAGCTTTATTAACTATTTCATGTAGTCACAACTGTAAACCTACTTTTACCCACCCTTGTACATTTCTCTCTCCTTTCTGACTGCATATTGCAGTTAATACTCTCTCTCTCTGTCTTATTTTTAGGATAGAAGATTCAATGATGAAATCGACAAGCTAACTGGATACAAGACAAAATCACTATTGTGCATGCCTATCAGAAGCAGTGATGGTGAGATTATTGGTGTGGCCCAAGCAATAAATAAGATTCCTGAAGGTACTCCATTTACTGAAGATGATGAAAAAGTAAGATTTCATGCCTTTTGTGACTTTCATTCTCCTTCTTGGTTACTGATTGTTATTCTTCCGGAAAAGGACAGGAATTGTGTGAATAGCTGTTGGATTAGCCCATTCGTGAATCAAAGAGCTTTTTCTCATGTTATACAAAATGTAATGGGAGCTTTTTATATTTTACAGAATGTGGTATAATTGAAAATAATTACTTAGTCTTTTTCTTAGCTTGCTTTTCATAACAAGCCTCCATAATATTCTTATTATCCCTGGTCTTTATCTTCCTTATACTAAATAAGCTTTTCAATCAAGGATCACACCATTACCACACATGGTTCAATGGAAAACAGGGGAGATAGAAAGATTACTGTGTTACAGAAACTCAGCACTTTTAGTTATATTTTTATAACAACTACAAAGAACTGTTTTCTCAGTTCTTATATAAAAACCCTAATTAAATGAATATTAATTATTTCAAATTGCTAATAAAAAACATTATTTTTATTCTTGAAGAGCAATTGACCTTGGTAGAAGTGATGTACTTTTTGCACATAAATTTGAAGTTCTTTTACCAGTAGCTTATTCCCTATCTCATATTACAAGAGACTTTTCAAAGAGCTGAAGTTCTGGTTTTAAAGCTCTTATCTTCAGATAAAATAGAATCAGGTGGGATATTTTAAAAATTTGTGGTAAAAGCAAATCTCAAATTAGTTTGTTTAATTTTAATGATTGCCATAATCCTATTTGATTAAAAAAGACACTTTACTCCCCTATGTTCATAGCAGCACAATTTACAATAGCTAAGATTTGGAAACAGCTTAAATGCCCATCAGCAGATGAGTGGTGTGCATGCATATAAGCCTAACCAGTGGTCATGGACAGCAGGGGGTGGGGGCATACGTGAGGAGGGGTTTGGGATGGGAATGAGGGGATGAGGACAATTATATGATAACATAATCAATAAAGAATTAAAAAACAAAACATAAAAAACAGTGGTACATCTACACAATAGAATCCTATGCTGCTATAAAAAAGAAGGAACTTTTACCATGTATGGGTGGAACTAGAGAGCATTATGCTAAGCAAAATAAGCCAGTTGGAAAAAGATAAACATCACATGATCTCACCCATTTGTGGGATATAATGGTCAACATAAACTGGTGAACAAAAATAGATCCAGAGACAAGGTAGCACTGAACAGACTATCCAACCTCAGAGGAAGTAGGGGGGGGGGGTTAGAGATCAACCAAAGGACATTTAGGCATGCATATTAGCATAACCAATGGACACAGACACTGGGGCTTGTTCTTGTGGGTGGGAGTGTCTGGAAGGGGTGTCAATTGGGGGGAAAAGGAGACATATGTAATATTTTAAACAATAAAAAATGTACAAAATTAAAGAATATATTATCTTGAAAAAAAAAGTCACTTTATAATTTAACCTTATGGATATGAGGTAGCTATTTGCCAATGCTAATTACTAATTAAATTAATGCAAATATCTGGGACAAAAGGTCAACATAATATATGATTATAAGGAAACAAGATTTTTAAGTGAAGAGAGTCCTTTATTAAGATCATTTCTGTAATTGAATTTGAACAGCCCAAATCCTAGAAAAGGTTTATAAACCTTTAGAGCCTGATAAGGCCTAAGACAATTTCTAACCAATTCAGTGAATGAGGAAAATGTGCAAGGCATGTGTGTTGGTGTCATAGGAAGCATAGAGAGAAATCTCAAACGTGTTACTCCATCCTTGAGCTGCGCAAGCCAGAGGTAGGTTCAGCAATGAAATGTCCAGGACATGCTATGGGTGCCTAGGAAAAGGAGGATTAGTTTCAGTTGAAGAATCTTAAAAGGCTTTTTGAAAGAGATGTCATTCGATCTGAATTCTGAAGAAACGATAGGCCTTCATAAGACACTCAGGTGAGAAGGTTAGGAATGAAGAAACTGATAAAATGTAAGTCACTGTGCAAATGTTTCCATGGGATGTAAAAATTTCCTTTTGTGAGTTTTGTACAAAAGATGAGAGAGTCCTGTAATAATGTGCCTCTTATAGGATTTGGATAGAAAGATGTGAGCTGTGTGCCTTTCCACAAAACAACTACATGCCCATGGCATCTTCCTAACATTTAGTTTATACTTAGCTGTAGTCCTGCCTTCACTCTGCCCTTGTTATTGAGTCAGATCCCATTATTTTTTTTAAATTCTAATTTCTGATTTCATTCATGTTAGATTTGTTTTCTGGAATTTCTCAGTGGATTTATACTCATAAGCTAGGGCTTCATGAGCTCTGCATAGACTGCGCAGGGGTTTGTACCTATCTTGAACAGCATCGACGTTTAGCTCTGCCGAGTTCATGCTTGGCTAAGGACAAGCACTCTGCTTTGGGTGAACCACATACTCTCTGACTCTCGGTTTCTTCACCTGTTAATTATGCTATCCACCATTCTATAGCATGAGAGATAAATAAGACCATACATGACAAATACTTTTAAAAAATATAAGAAAGAAGGCAAGTGTAGAACATACATTTTTATTTTTGAACTTCATTTTCTTCAACGAATTTAAAAAGGTTCTTCTATTTTTATTATTTATCCCCAGGCAAGTTATTTCTTAGATTCAACCTCATTTGAGTATTTCCTTGCTCCAGATGTGTTTTTCTCCTCTGTAAGAATCCCATGTTCCCACAGTAGCATTCTATTTCCCAACCTTTCCAATTCCCTCTCCTGATTAAAAAACCTTACTCTAGTCTCACTTCTCAGAAGAAGCCTTAACAGTTAGGGCAGGCAGATTGTGTTTTTCTCAAATTCTGTATCTGGTAATTGTTCTTTTCTGCAAGGAATCTATATATTACTAGAGGCCTGATACACAAAAATTCATGCAAGAGTAGACCCTCCTTCTTTCGGTTGCTGGCACTGGTTTCCCTCTGGCATCTGGGACCCAGGCTGGCTTCCCTCTTGCCCCAGCTGCATCAGGAAGGATGTCCAGAAGACGTCCAGTTTAATTAGTATATTACCCTTTTATTATTATAGATAAACCGAACAGGAGGTGAGGAAGAAAAGTGCAAAACCTAGAAATCATTAACTGGAAAGAATAGGCACTAGGTACTTCTTTCAAGTAAGAGAAGGTGTTGTGTCATAATGGTGGCATACAGGCCAAATGTGTGTCTACCAAGGTTGAAATTTTTTTTTTTTTTTTTTTTTTTTTTTTTTAAATATATTTTTATTGATTTTGTACAGAGAGGAAGGGAGAAGGATAGAGAGTTAGAAACATCGATGAGAGAGAGTCATCGATCAGCTGCCTCTTGCACACCCCTTACTGGGGATATGCCCGCAACTGAGGTACATGCCCTTGACCGGAATCGAACCCGGGACCCTTCAGTCCCCAAGCCGACGCTCTATCCATTGAGCCAAACCGGTCTCGGCTACCAAGGTTGAAATTTTACCTTGGCTAGAGCCTCTTTAACCATGGGCAAGTTATTTAGCCTCCCTGTGCTCCAATTGCCTCCTCTTAGGAGATATGTTATAATAATAATAATAATAATGGGATTAAATGATTACAGGGGAAGGACTTGGAAGAGTGCCTAGCACATAGTAAGTCCTTATAAAAGATTAGCTTTTACTGACAGCCCATTAATTCATGTGAGATATAGTCAGGTCTCAGTTAAAAAATTACCTCTGTATAGCCCTAGCTGGCTTGCTCAGTGGATAGAGCATTAGATTGCAGACCAAAGGGTCCCAGACCAAATTCCTGGCAAGGGCACGTACTTCTGTTGTGGGCCCTCTCTCCTCCACTCTCTCTGAAAAATCAATGAAAAAATATCCTCGGGTAAGAATTAAAAAACAAAAATCTCTGTATAACTTAAGTCTGGAGGTTTTTTATTAAGCATAATCTATATGCCAGTTCCACCTTTGGAATTTCAACAATGAAATGAGAGATACACTTCTTTATAAATTCACAGTTCTCTTGTGTGATTGTTAATGTATGCACTGTCTTACTTGATTGTACAAGGTTATGCTTCCACTGACTTGTATTCTACTTTTTAATGTGAAGTTATTCCTTGCATATATATCTACACATCAGTGTAGTCTACAGTGCTATTTCTAGGGATTATAAAGTTTTCTCTTTTTTTCTTTTTCTACATGGCCTCGTTTGCTTAGTCACTGTCCTATTACTGGAAATTTGGCTTGTTTCCAGTTTTCACAAATACAAGTAGCCCCCGAATGAACATCTGGAACAAATTACTTTTATCTTTTATGTTATTTCCTTGGAGTATACTCCAAAGACTGAAATTACTGAGACAAAGGGCAAGAGAGGTTTATAGCTCTCATTTCACGTTACCAAATAGCTTTCAGAAATATTGGTTCTATTTCTAATGGTAGCAGCACACATGTACCTATTCCTGCAGAGTGCTGCCTTCTTCATTCAATTCACATTTTAAAACTCAAATTACTTTTCCTTAGACGGCCAGGCAAGCTTCAAACAACCTTTTCCCACACACACCAGTAGAAATTCCAGCAATAGTAGTTTCAATGCTATCTACAAGTAAGGAAACAAGGAAGGGAAGTGGAAGCCTGGTGCTTAATGGTAGGTCAGGGCTTCAGATCAGATTGCCTTCAAGGCAGATTCAGTTAATATATATATTATTGATTTTTTAGAGAAAGGAAGGGAGAGAGTTAGAAACATCGATGAGAGAGAAACATCAATCAGCTACCTCCTGCACACTCCCTACTGGGGATGTGCCTGCAACCAAGGTATATGCCCTTGACCGGAATCGAACCTGGGTCCCTTGAATCCATAGGCCAATGCTCTATCTACTGAGCCAAATGGTTAGGACTGCTCAATTCTTTTTTAAAAAAAATTCTCACCTGGGGATATGTTTATTGATTTTACGGAGAGATATCAAGAGAGAAATATTGATGTTAGAAAGAAACATTGATTGATTGCCTCCCGTAAGCACCCTAACTAGGATGGAACACACAACGTAGGTATGTGCCCTGAACTGGAATCGAACC